CCGTTTTCTCCCGTTTTCGTTTTGATTTCGTTTTGCTTCTTATTTTCTACGTTGTAGATGTTAACTGTTCAACTGAAGTAAGATTCTCAAGAGTTTGAATGAGTGTGGAGAGTTGTGAGATCTTCGTTTATCCAACCATATAAGTTCACTTCAGTTACTTCGCCGGTGAAAGTCGAGAGTTATATTATTTCCTTCTTCTCATAATCGAAATCAAAAAAGAGAGGTTTGCAATAGACATCTGAAGGAAAAAAAAGAATAAAACCATGCAAAACACTTGATCGTTGAATAGCTTTCTCAATTTACATTCACTACAACCAGATTCATAAATTGATTTGAGGCGTTTCGACTTTGAAAGAGTAGATGTCAAGAGATTCTGAAATCTATGGGAGACAGCATAACACACTGCTCATACACATATAAAAGATTAGAATAAGATTTTTCCGTTCATGCACAATTTCATTTTTGTTCCGTAACAGTGAGCTTGCAGCTTGCAACCGTTTTCAGAAAGCTTGCTGAACATGGAGTTGCGTAACAGCTGGAAAACTTTCTAGCATGTCATTCGTCAAGCTCATTGGAAAACACAACAGTATGAATGATTTATGCCAGGAGAATTCGAAAAATAATTTAGTCGATCAGTCGCACCTCTTTCATTTGCTTAATTTGTTCTTTTACAATCTACTTGCAGGATCTGCTATGGTGAATCCAATGCTTGTCTGACCATCTCTATATGACTATTTGTCCCAAGAGTTTTCAACCTTTACCCGAGTGGTACATCGCCATGTCTATGACCATAGCATCAGTCACAATACCTTTATCACTCTACACATTATTCTTAATGATTATACTCACTCCGCCTCATACAGACAAGTATTATAGAGCCTATTTGATTTTATACCATGTGGTTGCCTGCTTCTTCTCAACCTTCAACGGCCTATCGGTAATTATCGAAATCTATTTAAATAAAATGAAAATGTCATTAGCCTTCTACTTCTGAATCATTCAGACTGTGATACAGTACATGCCGGACTTCCTAATAGTTCAAGGAGGCATTTCTATATTCAACTGTGTGAACGCCATTTTTATAAACCTGATAAGCCAAATGGATGTTACTATTCTTGCTGGTCTTGTTATATATCATCGGTTTACTATCTTCTTATTTGGTGATCGGCATCAACTGTTCTTCCGTCTGTCATATTATTCATTCTTTGCCATCACTACGCTTCCAACAACCATCTTATTCATCTGGATGCTAATTAACAATCAGGATAAGCAAAGAAACCCTCAACTGTTGGTGGTAAGTTCCCTTTGAAGTATAAGCTTAACATGAGGAACATCTTCAGGACTGTCCGCACCTTATTGAGCTCAATAAATATGATTATGCGTTCACGGATGACGAAGTTTTAATTGGATATGTTATATATGGACTCATCTTTCCCACAGTTGTCGGCGCCTGTGTTATTGTTCCTTTGTTCGGCACCTTTTCTTGGATGATGGTAAAACGGAAATCCTATATTTCTCCGGCGACGCATAAGTTGCAAATGAAGCTGTTGAAGAATACAATCATACAGGTTGAGCCTTTAACATTGATGAAACTAAATTAAAAACCCAAACATATCTTCTTTACGATTCTTACCATCCATCAGTTTCAGTGTACGTTCCCGACTATGTGCCACGCGTTCCCCGCCATGGCTGCAGAAGTTATTTTTTTCTTCAAAGTTGAGGTTCACTTGTGTACTGTTGAACTCTATGTTAACAGTGTTGATATGAAGATTTACAGATGTCAGTCTCTCTATCTGGGGCGCCGGGACGCTTCATGGGATTCTAAATTGTGTTCTTCTTCTCTTCCACAACGAGTTTTACAATAGAAAAATGAAAAGAGGTACGATTGAACTTTCTTCAGAAAGTTTTCAGGCTAATCGACGTGAGCATGAAAATGTAGCTCCGGTTCATGATTTTCTCATTCTGTCAGATTTCAGATATGATTCAACTGATATCATTGATGAAATCTTTTTTTTACAAAAAGAATCGAACAACTGCTGTGGAGTGTGCAGATAGACTGAAATCTTTGACAAAAGGTTGACTGTTCAACTTACAGAATTGAAATATCTAGTGTATGAGCTAATTCTGATTTGTCTATCAGCTGGATGTCATGCGAAGACAGAGTTAAGCGTACGGTTCTCTTTCTAAACAGTTTTCGCTATATTTAAAATTATTTTCTACATGGATCGGCTTGTCATCTCAATGCATCACTTGATACTCATCTATTTGAATATTCTTGCATATATCTCTTACTCATTACTATTCTGCTCATTTTCATATTTATGATAGAAATGTATTTCGTAATCACAAATTACATAGTTTCCATGTCCAATTAGCAATATAGCATATAAGCAGTGTATGGACGTGATTAATTAGCATAACACGTGGAATAGTATTCACGTGAACATAACACATGTCTTCATTTTCATTCGCATATTATACACACGTACGGAGCGGTTGATTAGATGGGTGGCAGTCGTACCCTTGGACAACATCGGCCTGCAGGCTAGAGGTGTTAAGGGAACCCTAATTCCTCAAGTTGGCTATGATGTCGTCTCGAGAAGTTCCTCCCAAGTGCGCTCTAATGCTAACTTGGGAGTTCATCCTTTATAGTTTCGTAATTTTTGCTTTTCTTACTCCTCTCTTCGTTCCCATTCGCAAACCTATCGATTGAATTGAGTTCGACAGTTTTCGTTGTCTTTTCGTTTTGTTTTCTATTTTCTACGTTGTAGATGTTAAATGTTCAGAGTAAGATCTTCATGAGTTGAATGAGTGTGGAGAGTTGTGACATTAGAATCAAAGACATTTTGTCGACGACATGAACTTTTCATGTGAAGTATTCTGTCAGGTTCATTCCGTTTCTTCTATCAAATACCCTTCTCACACTTCTTTCATA